ATCTAGCAGTGTTTAGACTTTCTATAGTAAAATCTGAAAATACGGTATTCTATATACACGGAAAGAACGATTTTTTGCTGGAAAGTCTAAATTTTTTGCTAAATAAAGCATTATTGATTATCAGAAAATAATTTAGTTAGAAACTTAAAAATAATGAACATTGTTGTAAAACGTTTTGAAAATCTAACAGTCACACAGTTTGTATTTCCAAGAAAATTATTGTAATAGTCCAATAAAATTATTTTTAGATTTATATCTAGCAGTGTTTAATTAGACTTTCTAGTAAAATCTGAAAATACAGTATTCTGTACACGGAAAGAACGATTTTTCGCTTGAAAGTCGAAAAATGTTTAGTCGAATGCAGCATTACTGATTATCAGAAAAAATTTTGTTGGAAACTTAAAAATGATGAGCATTGCTGTTTTGATATTCTAACAGCTATATAATTTGAATTTTCAAGTTAAAATTATTGCAATAGTTCAACAAAATTATTTTCAGATTTGTATTCAGCAGTGTTTAAACTCTCTAGCAAAATCTGAAAATACGATATTCTGTACACGGAAAGAACGATGTTTTGCCAGAAAATCGAAAAATGTTTAGCCGAATACAGCATTATTGATTATCAGAAAATAATTTTGTTGGAAACTTAAAAATAATGAACATTGCTGTAAAACGTTTTGAAAATCTAATAGTCACACAGTTTGTATTTCCAAGAAAATTATTGTAATAGTCCAATAAAATTATTTTCAGATTTGTATCTAGCAGTGTTTAATTAGACTTTCTAGTAAAATCTGAAAATACAGTATTCTGTACACGGAAAGAATTTTTGCTCGAAAGTCAAAAAATGTTTAGCTGAATCCAGCATTACTGATTATCAGAAAATAATTTTGTTGGAAACTTAAAAATGATGAGCATTGCTGTTTTGATATTCTAACAGCTATATAATTTGAATTTCCAAGTTAAAATTATTGCAATAGTCCAACAAAATTATTCTCAGATTTGTATCCGATAGTGTTTCTTCTAGCAAAATCATCTCTCGTGTTCCTTTTATTATGGGAAAGAAATTTATTCTCAATTCAAGATAAGGTAACATGCGAGTGCACGATACCCGCGAGAAATGTGCAATTGTTTTGCTCTTATCGTTCTTGTTAATTATTAAACGATTAGACGCGTTAATTAGAGCGTGAATCTGCAACGTATCGGAAAGTATGTGGAAAGTGCGTACGTCGAAAGTACGCACGCTATCGAAATATCGATCGAATCGTTCGTCATGCGGAACTCGCGCCGCAATGATATCGAAAATATATTATTTAATTTTGACAGGCAAAAAAAAACGCAAAGCAACGTAAGAAGGAAACTCGCGACGTGTTTATATAGAATAAGATATGTTGGCGATAATAGATCGTAAGTGGCACGTACGAAAGAAAAACGTGCAAATTAATACAAACCGCCGGCCGCCGCGCCGGTCCCGCGCGCGGTACCGAGTCATGTATAGTAGATGGACGCATGCGAAGGAAAAATAGCCATTATTTTCATATTCCCCTCGTTTTCGCTCGGAAGAACCGGGAAAGGAGTTTCCGCGTGCGCGGCTGTTGTTAGAGAATCCACCGATGCCGAGCAACGTACTTGCGATATATCGGGCGGTGGTTTTTTTTTTAAGGTAAAGAAAAACGGCACGTAAAGTGTAGCAGTCGAGAGGAATGCTAATGGAAGGTGAGTTGTAAAAAATATGTATAATGTATTCATGTCCTCTCTCTTTCTACAACAAAAAAAAACGTTATATTTTCTACTTTTATAATCGCATTATGTAAAATTTGCTGGAAAGCTCGTGCACGAATTGTTCAGATAAATTCTTATATTTTCCTCCTCCCTTTCTCTCTGTAATTTATTTTTTTCTTTACTCAAGAAAATGCAATTGTCCTCCTTTTTTTTGCATGTAGAAACATTTTTTAATGTGTCAATATTTTTTCATATATTACAATATATTTGGTGCATTTTGGAAAAATTGCAAAATAAAATGTTTTATTACGAATATCAAAATGTTGGAATTAACGACTTTGAAATTGTATACAATAAAAAATAAAGAAATTAAAGTTCCCATCTTATTGTTAAAGCCATATGTGTGCAGATTGTATACCTAGATACCATCAAAGTCATAGGCTCTTTATTTACATAATATTACTTATTAAATCACGATATTTTGACTTTTGTTCGACTATAAAAAGTGACTCATTATAAACAGCTTTATAAAGTGAATGTGCTATAATTTCTAACGTACTCCAATTACATTATAATTTCTTTTGTAATTAAAAAAAAATTTTTAAATTTAACAAAAACAGTTTTATGTCAAACAATGTGTAAAATTATATTCCACAAAATATATTACAGATATAATTTTACATACTATATAATTTAATATAAGAGCAAGAGTCATTTATAAAAGTGGTATTAATTCAAGGAAGCTAAACGATAACGTCGTTAATTAGGTCTCAGTTCGCTTCAGGTGGGCTTCATCGGGCTTCGGCGAAGGCAGCATGCAAAATTGCCGGAACGATGGAACGGACGGACGGACGGACGAATCGACTCGAGCAAAGGATCAATGAGGAAGAAGAAGAAAAAAAAAGAAGAGGAAGAAGAAGAAGAGGCAGATGGAATGTAGCGAATGGGGTCGCTGCCGTTGAAGGCGAACGACTGCGTCCCCCCCCCCTCCCCCGGGGGGACTTCACCTGGCGAGAATTGCCTTCGAATGCCGCGCGGAACGGCGGAAAACGGTATATCCATTCACATTCCCGGAGTGACTAATTCGCGCCGTCTGCTATGTACGTGACGCACGTGTACGTGCCCGGGGCGGTCACGTATCGCGGCGGCATTAGAAAATTCGATCAGCGATCATATTTCTCGAGCGGAAATTTTGTTACATGATGCGGTTACCTGATTCCTTTATATATACTGTCAGACAGCAAAGCCTTAAGGATGTACACGTCTCGCGTTAACATACTTTATTCTTTAATACACTGATATATTGGATTTATTTGCGGGGAGAGTTAAATTTTTTTTGCAAACGATACACAGTGGAATCTCGATAACTCGAATCTCTACACCTCAAAAACCTTTACAAGACAAAAATTTTGTTCATCTCCTTCCGCTCCGCTGCGGAAAACCTCCATAAATCGAAATAAAACCTACCTTAACTCGAATTGTTTGTCAGGCATTTAGATATATATTTTACCTCTGTAACTCGAATTTAAATTAGCCAGATCTTTACAAGTCGAAGTTCATCTCTATAAGTCGAACTTCCATTGTCGTTACCTCTAAATTCCAAGTTGTAGCTATGTGTAATCGGGAGTAATAGCCTGGTATTTTGTTTTATGGTTACATTTATCATACACAAAAAGAACGATTTTGTTGAAAAATCTAAAAATTTTGCTAAATACAGTTCTGAAAATAATTTTTGGTCAATAATCAAAATAATTTGTTGGAAAATTAAAAATGATAGGCGTTGCTATAAAACATTTTGATATTTTATTATAGCAATCGTTTTGACTTTCCAACAAAATTATTTTGATTATTGAACAAAAATTATTTTCTGATCTGAATCCAGCAAAATTGTTCTTACCGTGTATGTATGCAATAAATAATTTACTATCAAATATTGTTTTTTTTTCCTCTAAAAGCCACTATAATCGGAAAATTATAAACTCTCGTGTACAAAGCCTCCGTAAGTCGAATTTTCATATGTTAACCCTCTTTTACTCGAATTTTGATAAGTCGAAAACTCTATAACTCGAACAGTTTTTCTAGTTCCTTGAGATTTGAGTTATCGAGGTTCGACTGTAGCTTTATCACTGCAGTAGCGTATTCACCTTTTGAGAGGTTCCTGCAGGGCGCTGAACTGTGCCAGGAGTGATGCAACTGAATCATATTATAGCGCGATTTGGAAAATTGTAATTTGTAAGTTTGTATATACGTCCAAATATAATTCTATTAGCGATCGTAGTGCGCCGCAGAGAGTCTGCTTCCTGTGCCGAAGATCCGGGTTTAAATTCAATCAGAAATATCAGATTTTTATTCGATCGCTACCTCCCGGAGGGCAGTGGCAAACCACCAAGGGTATGTCTTGCCATGCTTTACTGCAAAACCCCTCTAAATTAAGCCGTTCAGAACCGGCATTGAAACTGTAAGTTCCGTATACCTGCAGTGTAAATAATTGTAAATAGTGCGCACCACAGAAATACGATAAAGGGTTGCCACGCTTTTGACAAGAGAGGCAATGGACTCGAAAGAGATAATTTAATTAAGCTCGATTTCGCGGAACGTGACGGTGGAATCGATACTGCGGAAAATTTCGTTACGCGAGTTTTCAACGACGCAGCACCTGTGAAGTGTCAAATTGTTTGACGTGGCTGCTGAACGCTCGATTTTGCAGCTCGGAAATACAGACAATTTGTGTTTTTCCCGATTTCGGTTGCTTCTGGCCTTCGCCGCCTACGTTGCTACGCACGTGTTGCACGCCCGCCAGGGACGCTTCTGAATCTAGTTGACTCGAAGTTGTTGAATCAGGCAAGAAAACGATGGTGGGAAAAAACTATCAATTGTTTATGCCAGCATTAGACCAAGGAAAAAACTAGACAATTTCTTTATTTTAAATATCGAATCGAAGTTTTCAACCAAATTCAACTTTGATGATATAAATATAATATTATAATAATAAAAATATAATATTTTCAAAGAAAAAAACCCGTAAAGTAATTTGATAAAAAAAACGTTCTATTTTTAATTATCTCTTTGTTCTCAAATGTGTTTCAATAAAAAATTTAATAAATATTTAATTAAATATTGATTATTTACTGTTTATTCATCATTGACGGAAGCTATAGATTGAGGCGTTTGAAGATCACAAGAGAAAATTTTATAAACGCGACCTGGGCTTTATATCACATTGGTAGATAATAGATGAAAACGGTGAAGCTATAAAATTAGAGAAAAAAAATATATCTCTCTTTTTCATGTAAACTTATTTAATGTTTTATTCAAAAATTACAAACAGAGAATGATGAGCTTAATTATTTGTTCGATTAATAAAGAATTATTTCTAACGTAATCGACTCGCTTTGCTCGTACATTGTAATTTTTCTACTAAAACTGAATAAATTAATCTCTAATATATAAAACTTAATGATACTTTGTGTGTCTTCTACAAATCATTATTTTCTTTCAAGATAAAAAAAGATCTCTTACATTTAGACTGTCAGATTATGAACAAGACGTTGAGATGAAGTTATCTTAATAACGTGCTAAAATTTGTAAACGATTTACATATATTTGACTATTTGCACTTGACGACGAGACGATAGCAGGGTTTCTCAGGTTGGATCAAAGTTACAAGCGGTTTATCGTCGCGCATGGTTATCCACGTGCCCGGATTTAATCGTACCATGTAGAAATCATCGCGAGTCGGAACGACGAATTCGTTGGCAAGTTGATATTCGTAATCGATAATTCCGCCCGTGTAGCCGCTGCTTCGGCACACGTTCGCCGCCTCTTCGTTTGACTTTATCACTGACGGATAGCATAGGGTGTGCCACACGCCGTAGGATCGTTGTATCACCTCGCCCGCGGCAAATCTGAGGAGCAATTTAATAAATTTGTATAGTTACGTAAGCATGTTCGTTGCTTCATTTCTCTCCGTCAACGTTTAACAACATATTGTGTACCATCCGCGCGCGCACAAAACAATGTTGGCGCACCTCGGTCCAATTAAGTCTCACCTGCCGTCTGCGGTCTCCTGCACCTTTCTGCATTTCGTTTCGTCCTCGCCATTCGGACAATCACTGTCGCCGTCGCACACGAAATCTTGCGAGATGCAGGTAATATTTCTGCTTCCTCTGCACACAATGTATGTTTATATATATATATATATATATGTATATAGTATATATATAGAAAGAGAGAGTAACTCTGGTATATACGCCGCGCGAGGATTTATGCCGCAGAAGTCAGAAAAAATAGAAGAAATGAAAGTAATTTTCTCGCAATCACTCTGTTACATGTCTTTATGTTATATTAGTATTGTGTTATAATTTCAGTTTTTTTTACTGTCAATATTTATAAAATTATTGTAAGTTAAATAGATTTATCACTGTAATAAGTAGCGCAATCATAAGGTATAATCTACATAAAATGATTGCAGGAAATATAAAAGACTTCGTGGTACATAAGTGTAGAGGAATTGTAAAGGATAGAGTATAGCAAAATACAAGTGCTTAGCTCTTGTATTCTTCGATTAGTTCACTGTCTCGTATATCCCATCTGTTTAGGATATGCGGCATTTTTAGCGCGTGGGATTTATGCCGTAGTACAAACGCTTTATTATTTATTTATAAATATAAAAACAAATAATAATATGTGATAATACGCTATTTACAATACAATAATCATAATATTCATGTATGTATATATTTATGTATGTATTTATTCATAATCTGTGATAATACGTTTTTTATTTATTTATTAATAAGTAAATGCAAATTACGTTATCAATTCATGTGTTATTTACCATTGTTATTTAGATTATTTGTATATT